GCGAAGGTATCCTCACATTGCAGACGTTCCATCTTCTGGAACAACTCACGTTTTCGGGCCCAGTTCTATTTGTGTGTCCACTTTTGGGTGACTCAAACATTTTCTGAATCTGAGTTTTGAAAAACTGGCTTAATTGTATGCAGACTGTTGGTTCCTCGCCTCTCAGTCAGACGCATAGTCTTTTCAAATAAGACACCCCTAAAAAGTTGATTCCTACGTTATGCTTTTGAAACGATATTAGAGACTATTCTGCTTATTTTTTAATTTTTTATATTTAATACTGGGGTCCCTGAATAAGCATTAGGCATCGCCCGTTGTCATAGCGCACTTTAAAGGCCAAATATCAAATAAAGTCGCTTACAGTGACGACAACTACTTCAGCGCCAAACTTGCTCACCCCCCCCCCCCCCTTAAAAAAAGTAAAAATTCAGAAAGGCAACGTATAGTAAAAGTCAAGTAAAAGTCAAGTAAAGGTAAGGTAAACGTAAAGTTAAAGTGACGTAAAAGTGAAGTAAAAGTAAAGGGGAAGTGAAAGTAAAGTATAGTAAAGTTAAAGTGCAAGTAATATAAAGTAAAAGTAAAGTAAATTAAAAGTAAAAGTAGTGATCGTATTCCTGCAGTTTGCGCCTGGGCTTTGATGTGTTCTTTGTTCCATGCTGACTTTGTCTGCTTTTATTAGTATGTTGTTCTGTACGTTGATGAAGACTCTGCTAGAAATGTCCTGCAGTTTTTGTGACCCTCTCCCATCTTCTCTCTCTCTCTCTCTCTCTCTCTCTCTCTCTCTCTCTCTCTCTCTCTCTCTCTCTCTCTCTCTCTCTCTCTCTCTCTCTCTTGTTCTTCAAGTCAGAGTTTATGTTAAAGTTTGTAGCATGGACTTGTAGATTATCTTTTTCAATACCTTGTAGATTAACTCTTTCATGGACTTGTAGGTTAAATCTTTCGTGGATTTGTAAATTAGCTCTTCCATTGACTTGCAGGTTAAATATTTCGCGGATTTGTAGATTAGCTCTCTCAATGACTTAACTCTTTCGTAGATTTTTTTATTAACTTTTCAATGAACTTTTCCAAATATTAACTATTTTATAAGAGTAAAGATTAACTATTTCATTGACTTGTACATAAATTCTTGAGTATACTTTCAGATTAACTCTGTCATGGGCTTGTGGAAAACCCGTTCTTTGATTTGTAGATTAACAATTTCACTGTCTTGTAGTTTAATTTTATGCGGAACCCTTGGGTAGTCCTGGGGCGATATTACATTGTTCTGAGGTCCATGTAGTTATTCTTTCATTGACATGTAGATAAATTATTTCATGTATTTGTAGAATGTTGAATGTTGAATCAAGAATCGACATCACAGCACTCAGAACATTCCCTTAAGCGCTCCATCCCCATCTTCAGCAGCAAGCGCAGAGTTAAAATTCCGATTGTACCAGTAACAGTCTGATTGTATATCCGTATATATCGCATACATACTACTGGGATGTCTCTTGTACATCCTAGAATCACCCGCATGGCTTCATTCTGTATGAGTTCAAGTTTCATAAGCTGACTCTTTGATATACTTAGCATGCCAAGTCCATAATCTATCGACGACAGGATCACATGCTAGAACATTATGAACAACATTCTTTGTTCCATGTCCATTGCTGCCATAATCTTGAGAGCATTGCGTCCTTTTTGGCATTTCACTGCAACTGCATCCACATGATCCCTGAAGGACAGGCTTCTATCAAAAATGATACCCAGGTATCTCAGTTTGCTTTCTTGTTTGATGTTACTGTTATGAACTGTGAGGTTTGGAACGCCAGCTTTTACAATTCTATTGTCCAGAGAACACCACAAAACAGCTGCCTTTTCTGAGTTAATGACAGCACCATTTTCGGTACACCAGTCAGTCAATTTGTCCACAGTTGCTTGTTGCTCGTGAGCTATCCGTCGCCTATCTCTCCCCTGCCTATATGCAAGAATCTCATCGGCAAATGTCAATATTCTTTCAACACCTAGTGATTCAAGTTCTGCAATCTTTCTTGAAAACACATTAAAGAGCACTAGGGTAATTGCAGAACCCTGGGGTATTCCTGGGGCGATATTACATTGTTCTGAGGTCCATGTATTTGTAGAATGACTTTTTCATGCACTTGAAGATTAATTCTTTCATAGGCATGTAGATAAATTATTTCATGTATTTGGGAATGACTTTTGCATGCAGTTGTAAATTAATTCTTTTATGTACTTGTGGAATGACTCTTTTATAGACTTGTTGATTAATTATTTCAGAGAATTGTAGAAAAACTTATTGATGGTTTTGTAGATTATCTCTTTTCGTATACTTGTAGATTAACTCTTTTATGTTCTTGTAAAATAACTCTTTCAAATACTTTCACGTATTTGTGAAAAAACTCTTTGATAGACTTGTAGATTAAGTCATTGATTCTCTTGTAGATCAACTCTTTCATCACCGCACAACCCTCAGTAAGTTTTGTGGTCATCTCGAAGATACTTGTAAAATGATTTTATTACTACCTTCTATCACAGGCAGACGGCACAGGTAAAACCTCGTTAACACCAATTCGCTTAAGATGAATATTCTGTTAACAAGAACAAACTTTTGCTCCCATCATAGATGTATTTTTGTTATTAGCATCCCGTTAGCAGGAATTTGTTTTTTAAAACATGGACTCGATTGTCAGACTCTTAATATTTGGTTTTTAAAACTTGGACTCTATTGTCATACTCTTAATATTTGTTTTTTAAAACTTGGACTCGATTGTCAGACTTTTAGAAGTTGTGTTAACAAGGTTTCAATGCATAAGCAATGTGTGTCCGAATGATAAACACATAGACAGAAATTGATCTTCACTCACAGAAAGAAGAGAGATTTGAGGACATAATAGACGACATCAAAATGGAAAGTTATTGTTACCATGCCTGGAATCAAACCTGTCACATCAATGCCCTCAGAGAAATGGGAAGGATAGACGACTTTGGTGGCAGTGAATCCACATCACTCGCCAGAATGGCAGACTTGGGAATTAAGATCGGCACAGCAAAAAACGAGACGCACACCAGCTACGCCAGAAGACTTGTTAATCAACATAGAACTGGTACTATTAGCCATCAGACGTTGGGGTTCATACTGAGGGGAGGATCTGAGCACCTATGGACATGTCCGGAGTGCAATGAGGATAACCCAACTAACTAACTAACTAAACCTGTCACATCCTAGTGACGAAAGCGCCTCGCTGTAGACGCATGTCTACTGATACGCACGGCCACACGACACCCCAAATCGGGGAAGGCGTAAGCCAGTTTTATAGTAAGTAAAGATCTGTTTTAACGCACTACGTGGTTAATGTGGTCAGCATTACGTCGGCCGTCTTTACCTCCCCGGACATCCATCCTGGTACCCATTTTAGGCCGGGTCGACCTAAAAATCCAAGCAGCCATCAGTGGCTTTCGATCGCGGTACGTTGGAATTACGAGTCGCACCCGCAACGCCTAAGCAATGGACGCCGCCAAGCCAAGTATAGAATACAACCTAAATCTACAACAATTGGATGAGACAGAGTTTGTTTCAAACCTTTGAAATATTTATGTTAACCAAGCACAGACAGAATAACAAATGTAAACACCAGGCCGTGATGCTATGTCTAGATTCTGGCCATGGTAACCTTAGCTTTATGTTTCATGTTGACTTTTGTATCCTCTTATCTCTCTATTTCCTAATGGGTGGGGTGGGGGTGAGTTGTATCGAGGTATGGTATCTGTCTAGAGTGCTGGAGGTGCTGGGTTTAGGCTGGGATTTTTTAACGTCCACTTCTATTAATTTCCCCTGGTCTACGGGTAGAAAGATCAGACGCCCGTGTGTATTGTTGAGTAAGTGAAAAATACCTTGGTAGTTGGAAATCGGAAAGAGTAGCCTAACGGCGCTGCCCGAGCAAAATTTGGAGTCAAAAATCTACAAAAAGTATTCAGAATCCTCACCGGTGCAACGGAGTTCGTGCACTGCGCGAAAGAATCTTCATACTCAGGCTTGAGTTAGAAAGAGAACTGAGCACTTATGGTTTGCACCCGTGTGCTATGATGTTGATCCGTGAATAAACAAACAAACTTCTTTATAAGAAAATTTATCAGTTCCTGGTTTTTTATTTATTATTATAAATACGGCCCCATTGGTTCCCCTCTGTTTACTTTTGTGCACTGCTTGTGTCAGAATGGTTAGTTCAACTAATTACGTCCCCATGTGCCTCTGATAAATGTCATCTGATACAAGTATGTGTTGGCTGTAAGCTCAATCCCTCTCGAAATAAATGCTAAATTATGTGTGACAAGAAAGCTCAGCAGAGGTAAGGGGAAAGACACGAACAAGTAGAACCGAGCGTGTCGACCAAAGACTTCATCATCAGAGTAGTAAATCCAACACAAACTGTGGCTAGAAAACTCAACATAAAGACAACTAAAACAAACTGTCACTACTGACTGTTTGACCACTTTTTAGGGCCGCGTAGACAGGGGGGGGGGGGAAATACAATCACCTTACCGAGGCTGGAACTCGGGTCTCCCGCATGAGACCCCGACGTTGTAACCGCTCGACCAGCCTCTATTCAGACAAGACAACAGAGCTTTTAAACAACCAGCACATTAAAAAAATCAAGAATGTTACACCTCTGGGGTGGGGGAAGTTTTAAAGAATTAATTGCTAGGTCTCAAAGCTTCAATAGACCAGGATATTACGTCACAGCACCCAGACACGCCCACAACTTTGCTAATCAACGAATGTTGAAGTCTTGAAAGAAAACACAACTTCGACTGATTCTTGCTGAACATAAGATTTTATTGTGTAATTTGTATTTAATTTTTAACTTCTCAACAGAAAAAAAAAAGAATGAAATCTAATGGTTTTTTTTTTTTTTTTTTTAGTTAAACGAAGTAAACTGAGACACCAGTTCAGAAATTTGAAACTGATCTTTCAATGTGTTCGTTCCATAATTCGCTGCTCAAGACCCGGATTTTGCACTTCCGCAGATCTTCGCGAGGTATCTGTCAGAAAAAAAAGGAAAACATAAACAGTTCGTTTGTTTTCTCCGGGATGCTAGCTTAAGGTCTGACATTCTAAGATTCAAACAATATGTATCTGGATGGCATACCACAAGGTAATTAAACAGTTCAAGCTGCAAAGAATTTCTATTTTAGGTAACCGTAACAGTTTTTTCAACCTTCACCCATCTGGCACCAGTGTTGTCAGCAGACATACACCAGCCTTCACCCATCTGGCACCAGTGTTGCCAGCAGACATACGCCAGCTTTCTCCCATCTGGCACCAGTGTTGTCAGCAGACATACGCCAGCCTTCTCCCATCTGGCACCAGTGTTGTCAGCAGGCATACGCCAAGCTTCATCCATCTGGCACCAGTGTTGCCAGCAGACATACGCCAAGCTTCACCCATCTGGCACCAGTGTTGCTAGAAGACATACTTCAGCCTTTATCCATCTTGTCACTTGTCCATATCGACACCATAGCACATCGGTCCCACCAGTTCGTGCTCCGTCTTCCGAGGCAGTAGCCATCTCCGTGTCTTTAATCTCAAAATACGCAGTTGGTCTTAAACCGGTTTCTGCATGCATGTCTTCGTTGAACTCATCTCTAAAAGACGGGTCATTGTTTCTAACATTTAATGTCAGGTTCTCTAAACAGCAGTGCTAACAGTATCTCTGCTCTGTTCTTACTTCTTCCTTCACTAACTACCGCAGACACGGCCAGTCCAAGACCGTCTCGATTTGATGTGCCATGCTGTTGTCGTCAGCAAACCGGGCTAACGATACGTTAGCCTATTTTGATGACGTCAGCAGCAACCTGACAGACGGAGACGGTCATGTTTTGCCCTATCAACATGGCCTACCAGTAGTGATATTCTTGACACATTGACTTACATCTTGTAGTCGTCCCAGGACTTGATTCCATCATTGCCTAGGTCAACTCTCCCAAAGCTTTCCTCAATATCGTCATAAGAAATCGCTTGATCTTTGTTGAAGTCTAGAAAATTAACAATCTGTCCTTCTTTCCCTGATAAGTGCAGAAAGAGAGACGAAATAAAAAAGAATGAATCAATCAATTAAAATGTACATGTTTAAATTTCCTTATTATGATTCCGAAACTGCCATCTATAATAATGAGAACTCCACAGGGCAGCATGTACAGTAGGAGTTTATCGATCATCAGTAGAAGATCCCTCGTCAACAATTGTTTCGGCCCATTGACTCCTTGCCAATTTCAAAAGGTGAACCGACCTGGGCCGTGACTCTCAGGCCTTGATCTTCTTCTGCTGCACTTCACCGGATGTTCTCGGACAGGGACCAAACAAAATGGTGACTATCCACCGGGTACTGTGTGATTCAAAGCCTATGGTATATTTTGTCCCTGTGGTAGCCAGTTAGACCAGCCGGCTACCTTAACAACCAACTGAAAAGCTTACGGTTGGTTCATCGGACACATGTTATCATAGTCTCCATTGACCTTTGTTATCCGTCCAATTTTCCAGTTATCACAACCCACTTTCCTTGTTCATATCTGACACTGGGACTCAAGAATACAGCAGCCTCCTTCTTATCTCTTGCAGTTACTCAGCTTTCTTTGTGGTTAGTTTCTTCAACACACGTTTTAATCTGTACGTGGTATTTTTTTAAACATCTGTTCAATCAAACCTCTACAGCTTCGATATTTTCTTCTTGTTCCTGGCGTAACCTGGCTGTAAACTCTGGCAGAAAGTTTTGGTTTCCCGTCCACTTCTGGACTTTGGACTGGTGTACTAGAATTTGAGTTGTGCGTGCTCACTTTTCTTTCTTTTTTTTTTTTTTTTTAGAAGTCTGGCTTTTTTTTAAAATGAGCAATGTTGGTTCCTTATTACTAAGCAAATGCACTCGACCCGGAGACAATCCATTTCTGGTCGCCCTGTACGGCATACTTGTAATGGTGGCAGACGGGTTTTTTTTTTTTTTTTTTTTTATAGCACTGGGGCCGAAATTGGAAGATTACGCATCTTGTCCCACTAACCATTTGACTGTCGATGATTCACTGTCAGTCAATACTTTTGTGGGAGTATGTGTGTGTGTGTGTGTGTGTGTGTGTGTGTGTAATCCTTAGAATTTTAAACAAGCTTTTGCACACCAAATACAACAATAGTAGTTGGAGTAGTTGCATTAGAAGAGGAAGAGGGGCGGTAGTAGGAGGAGTAGTTGGTGGTAGCAGACGCAGTAGCAGAAAGAGTTGTAGTAGTAGCAGCAGCAGCAGCAGTAGTAGTAGCAGTAGCAGCAGCAGCAGCAGTAGTAGCAGTAGCAGCAGCAGCAGCAGTAGTAGTAGCAGTAGCAGTAGCAGCAGCAGCAGCAGTAGTAGTAGCAGTAGCAGCAGCAGCAGCAGTAGTAGTAGCAGTAGCAACATCAGCAGCAGTAGTAGTAGTATTAGTAGTTGTTGTTGTTGTCGTTCTTGTTTGTTGTGTGTGTGTTTTTTTTTTAATGTTGATGCTGTTGTTGAGGATGATAGTGATATGTATATTGCAACATCAGTACGAACCGGTCACCCAATAATTTTTCTGTTCTTTTATTAACCCAATCAAAATCCAGAAACTTGCACAAGCAATAACTGCATAAGTCAGTCGCAACATTAACAGTGCACCACCAGAACAACAATTCTTAGTCGATAGAAGTAACCGGTCAAGAAAAGTTAGCTATACACACATAGTAAATGCATTAGGCAGTTGCCAGAGGTGTCGGCATCAACAGTCCACCACCAAAATTGCACTATGTCGTTAACCGAGATATTCAGTCACAAATTGGCCGCATACAACCAAATAAAACAATAACAGCCATTCAGATACGCACCTACCAATGCCGGAGCAACTTGGGGGAATGATGCTTGAGCCTCAGGAATAGTAATGCGGGTGTCATTGTTCAAGTCTACTACCTGGTCAATGTATCAACATTGCAGGACATAAATGTTAGTATTGGATGTGTAACTCTTTAGTGTTGTGCAACTCACCTTATGGCCATTAATTACTCATTACACATTTCGGCACTCCTCCGTATACCCGTCCAAAATTATGGAGGTTAAACACATACCCCAGCAGGGCCTCAATGATATGTTAAAACGAGGATTTATTTCCGGCAAATCTGGTAGGCATTAGATTAATACAAAACACAGTATAATGATTTTGTGACAAACGTCCCATATCGCTAGTCTCGTGGTTGGACTGCTGTAACAGATTCTCGTGGCAGTATTCAGTTAGCCCTAACCCTAACCCTCACACACAAACAAGTGAAAGGTTATGGGTGCAACTCAAACGGAAGCAACTATTGAGGCCCTGTTAAGGTGTGTTTTTAACCTTTTTAATTTGGGACCGTTATACGAAGGATTGCCCACATTTCTGTTTGCTTTCGCTTATTGCTCGGAGACTTGGAGGCTAGCGAGTACTGTTAACAATTGCATGGTCCTCGGGCACTGTGGCTGTCTCCCTGTCGATGACGGTTCAAAAAATATATTTCCCTTGGTCTTCGGGCAATAGTACGAGAGTAGCACCATGGAAGAAACTGGGGCCTTATCACGCCATAATAATCCGGAGGACAACAGTGGTACACTGTAGCCAGCCTTTATTGTGGAGACGGCACATATATATTTTTTTAGTGTTACTGCTTCTGCCTCAGAATTTTATTGTTTTAATACTTAGGTCACTACACAGCGGTTTTTTTTTTTTTTTTTTCAATTAATGACAAAAAATGTCACTTTTTCAAAGTTTGCTCGGATACCCATGCTAAAGCTCTAGAAGCAGTTTTTGTAAAAGTTAGGCATTCATAGAATAGATTATACAAGATTTATGTCATTTGTTAACCATTTAGCATTGAAAAGTTAAAACTAAAGACACCAACCCATGCATTCTCTCTTAAGATAAAAATAAAGTTTGTAAGTCAGTTTTCCAACAATTCTATATTTCTGTTTGGTGTGTGTGTGTGTGTGTGTGTGTGCGTGCGTGCGTGCGTGCGTGTGTGTGTGCGTGTGCGTGCGTGCGTGCGTGCGTGCGTGTGTGTGTGTGTGTGCGTGCGCGTGCATGCGTGCGTGCGTGCGTGCGCGTGCGTGCGCGTGCATGCGTGCGTGCGTGCGTGTGTGTGTGTGTGTGCGTGTGTGCGTGTGTGTGTGTGTGTGTGTGTGTGTGTGAGTGTGTGTGTGTGTGTGTGTGTGTGTGTGTGTGGGTGTAAATAAACTACACCATTATTTCAACATTGAATAAAAATTCATGATTCCATCTACTTCTTAATACGTATGTTTGCTTTGAAATTTCAGGATTCTATGTGCATGTTGTTTTTCCCCAAGATGGTGGCTATTGCCATAGCAACCATGATTTTTTTTTTAACTTTTAAATATATATCACTACAAATGACCATTATAAAAAAAATTGGTCTAACACTGTAAATCGAAACAAAACAAAAAATGGAGTGTAGTGACCCCTTCAAATCGTTGGCTATGTTAATTTTAACATTTTCAGGACTAAAGAAGTGAATATATTCTTGTATATGAAGATCCGTACAGACACTGTCAGAAACACCAAATAAGGGTACACTTTTATTGGTAAGATGATAGTGGTATAGCGTGTAATCGATTGGCGCCTTTCCGTCTTTCCAGACGATAGTGTTACATTGAGCTATGAGGAGGCATGAGACTCATAGCCCATGGTGATGGCGAGGTTGACTACCAAGACTAGCAAGTGTGTAATAGATAGACAGGAAAAGCACAGATAAGGTCAGTGATAACTTTCTTTTCCCACAGGGAACAAAGACAGGAAAATGTGGATTGTAAAAACCATGTGTTGCCCCTACAACGTGATCCTTTTTCAGTCAACCTTGTTTACTCTAGAGGAAAGGTAACACCAATAGGTTTTGTTTTTTAGAAAAGTGTGCCGCATGAGGCTGTCTGATCAAAAAGTAGCACACTGTCTTTATTTCGTTGCGTCCCTCCCCCACCCCCAACCCACCCTTATAAGTGCAAGTGACAGCCAAGGCTAGGGATTTAGTCCTTTCATGCCAGAGCATAGTTTACAGGCTGTGTTTCCTTTTCATAGGATAAGTTCAGATCTTCCCTAGTACGCCAATCTGGAAAAAGCTGATGGCAGAAAGTGGGATGTCAGGTTTGGTAAACGCGGCCCAACATTCTGCGTTAACAGAGAACAGGTTGTCCTCACTTCTGTTATACAGTAGCTCACTCACAACACTCACGACTTACTTATAAAATATATATGTATATTCTCTCAAACAATATTTTATCTACCAGCTTTGCACGGTATCTTTGTGCAGGCTGGTAGTTGTATGGGTACAACCAGGAGCTGCCAAACATGAACATATTCCGAAGGGTAAAAGATGTTTAGCCAACATGGCCAGGACGTCATCGGTCAACTTCCTCTTCTACAGCTACTAAATACGAGATGGGAGTACTTATGGACCTTCCTAGGCTGTGATGGAATGATCTTTAAGGCACATTTTTCATATTATTTTCAGTAATGGAAGAGCAAATTTCTCAACAGATAACACGAGAAAAGCATTTTGAAAGCATGAATGCTAGTAGCGGTTCTATTTACCCCAAATATGGCGTAAGCCTCTGCCCTGTCAATGCCCGTGTCATTGTTGGCGTTGAGGATATTGAAAAAGTCCCAAACTGTGGCGTAGTCGCATAAGCCCAGGGCAGCAGAGGGCAGTAGGATAAGGCACACGTACAGGAGCATGATCAGGGTTAGCTGGCAGGTTCACCTGGGGATACGATAACACTTGTACAGAAAATCAGAGTTTCTTGGCGTTTCTGTTGTCGGACGAGGGATTAAATATCTGTGCGCCTTTTTTTTTTTTTTATTTCCTACTCCCTTCTTTTTCCTTTTCATCTTCTTATCGTCTTTTCTTTTTTTTTTTTTTCCCTCAACTTTTTTCATTGCTTTTTTTTTCCTCTGCCCCCCCCCCCCCCTCACCCCCCCCCCCCCTTCTTTTACCCTCCCATCATTTTTTTTTTTTTGTATTTTCGTTCATTCTTCTTTTTCTTCTTCTTCTTCTTCTTCTTCTTCTTCTTCTTCTTCTTCTTCTTCTTCTTCTTTTCCTTCTGTTTCTTCTTCTTCTTTTCTTCTTCTTCTTCTAGTTTTATGACGACGATAACGACGACGACGGCGACAGTGAGGATGATGATGATGACGACGACCATAAAAAAATGATAATACCAACAATGATTCACAATATTAGCTGCAAGTTGTCCTGACCCCCAGCAAGCAGGCACGCTAGCTTGACTGTGTATGTGCATCCATACATGAAATAACTGGCCAGAGATCACAGAAAACATTTGATCTCATTTCGGTCCGCTACACATCAAATGGAGAAAACTGCTATCGGGAAATGTTTCGGACGAATTAGCTCCCTTGTACTGTACTATCATGATGACTGTGAGGTGGAAACGGCATGAGGGAACTGATACAGTCAAGCGGTTTGTCTTTATGGGGTCACTACACCAAAAAATTTTATTTTTTTATTTACAGACTTAGAGCAGTTATTTCATAATGGTCATTTGTAGGGATACATTTTATTACATTTATGTACTTTAAGTGTTAAAAAATCATAGTTGTCATGGCAATAGCCGCCATCTTGTGAAAAAAACAATATGCACTTAGAATCCTAAATTTTTGAAAACAAACATAGGTATTTAACAATAGATGATGGATCCATGACCTTTTATTCTATTTAGAGGTACAGGTCTAGTTTATTTACTTTAAACGTGTTTTAAAATATTTTTCGTAGAATTTTAAAATGTAGGTTTATTGAAAAAGTAAAAAAAATCTAGCATCATAAGACAATAATCAAGTTTTAGAAACAAAAAATTTTTAAAATCTACTTTTGGATAGATCAGTCCCTATCATGTTGTTTATGGAGTATGCTTACAAAATTTCATGTTTCTACTCTTTATATTAGTATAGATTTTAGGATTTCACACACACAGCAAACTGAAATATAGAGATTTGAGAAAACTGACTTTTAAACTTTTTTTTATCTTAAAAAGTGCACGAGGTGGTGTCGTTAGTATTAACTTTTCAATGCTAAATTGTTTACAAATGACATACATTTTGTGTGTCATCTATTCTACGAATGCCGAACTTTACAAAAACGAACACATTGAAAAAGTGATATTTTTGTCATAAATTTGGAAAAATGCCGTGTAGTGACCCCTTAACTATATTAGAGATGACTCACTGATCCTGGACTACAGGTTTCATTTTAACAGTTCTGTAATTCAAACCATTTCATGGTTAGAGCAAAGCACTTTAAAAGACCTGGTAAATCAATACGAATTTTAATTACCAAAGGTAAACTGTCACAGAAGATTAGAAATTTGATGTCAACTGTGACTCAAAGAAGCCAGAAGTGAACGTCTCTTGCAGCTGAAAGTAGTAAGTAAGTAAACTTTACCCCACCAGGACATCACAGAGAGTGATAAACACCCGGCGACACACAGTGCCACTATGCGGATGAGGATCACCTGTGGAGAGGTCCCAGAAACCACTTTCAGTCGTCAGGTTAAGAACAAAAAAATGCACAATACCAACCTGTGAAAACTGATCTCTATCTGCAATGCAGCAGTCAATCTAGCCTCTGTTGTACTTATAGCAAAACTCACTTCTGAAAATTATTGTTTCAAATAATTAATGAAAACACAAATTGTTCTACAAAGGGACAAAAAATATGATAGTATATGATGGTATCGAAGCTCCAGTGCATTTGAATTCATATGTGGGTACCACATGGCTTACTTTCCTTTTATGTCGATCATAATTTTCATAAATAAAATATGTCCGGAATTTATTATTCATAGATGTATCATGATCCAGAATTGTTGAATACTATGGTAGAGGGGATTGGCCGCAAGGTACGCCACTATGCCACCATTGCATTAGAAATATAACGTTAAAAAATACACATCTGTCTATCTCATTGTTGCCCACGCAGAAGAGCAGACTGCACAGACAGGCTGATGATTGGTCAGACCATCCACGTTTTTATCTTTTTGCTTTCCTCTATAATTTATTTCCCGTCTTTTTTTTTTATTTTTTTTTATTTTTTTTTTTTTAGGATGAAATTTTTTGTTATTTGAAGCCCTACTCTGGCTTTTGCCAGGGGCCGCAATATAGTCTGGCCATAAATATGGCCTAAAGGCTGAACGAGGTTTCTGTGACCTTTCCACGGTGATTCTCATCCATATGTTGGCACTTTGTGTCATCAGGTGTTTATCGCTTGTGTGATGTCCTAGTGGTGTAGAAAGTCAGTCAGTCAGTCAGTCTTGCTCTCTTTCCATCAATCTTACCAGGTGTTACCAACTTCTCGGGTCTACGCCTTCTCAAAACACTGTATCTGTTGTGGTCGTCACGGGTATCCTAATCATAACTTCTTGTTTAATTAATATCCATATTATACAGGAATCATCTTCATCATTAATCAGCAAGTCCCATTCAGAACGTCGCTCTCTTCACGGCACGCCTGAAAGTATCCCTTTCCCAAGCCAGCTTTTAATGCAAATGTTTCTCTAATGTCCTGTATCCATCATTGCAGCGGTCGACCCTTACTTCACCTTCCACAAACTGCACCTTCCATCACCGTCTTTTCCAAGCCGCCATGACGCTTTATGTGGCCAAAATACTTTATCTTTCGGGACAGGATGCTGTTTATGAGCCAGTTCTCCCTGATGTTCAACTCTTTTAAAATGTCGATGTTTTTCCTCTTCTTAATTGATGGTATTTTCAGAAATGTTCTATAACATTTCAATTCAAAAGCTCCAACCTTTTCCCTCAGTGAGAGTCCAAGACTCACAACCGTAAGTTGCCACAGGGAAAATGCATGATCTCAAGATTTTTACTTTAACCAATTTACTAGTGCTTTGCCATAGGCTCTTCGTGCTGTTTAATCTCTGCATTGCTAATGCAAGTTTTCTTCTGACTTCTTTCGAGCAGTCGCCATTGTTGTTCACTAAAGAGCCCAAATATTCAAAATCTATTACATTTTCTGTTTCTTCATTTTCGACTGTGATATGTGGTCTGTGTACTGAATTTATAAAAATATTATTTTCTTCGCTGTGTGTTTTGAAAGCCAAAATTAATTTTTCTAAACCTTTTACACTGTTTTAAAGAAAAACAGTGTTGTCTGCACATCCGAGTTCTAGGAAAAGATTACCTCCAATTTTTAGTGGATCAAAGCTCTCACGTGCTTCATCGCATATTGCGTTTCTCATAACATTTTTAGCATTTATGAATGCAGCCCTGCCTCACTCCTCTCGGCACTTCAAATCATTCTGATGTTTCACCAGCTACTCTGACTGCTGCTTGTTGTTCATGGTAAAGAGATGCCATTACTTGCACCAAATGTTTTAGAAATCCCATGCCTCTCATTATATGCCACAGTTTATGGTGCTGCACACAGCTAGTCAAATGCCTTTCTGTAGTTTATGAAACAGGTATAAAGATATATCTTGTATTTTCTTCACTTCTCTAGGATAATTCTCATATTGAAAGAACGGTTGTTTGTTTCTCTACCACGTCTAAAGCCTGCTTGTTTTTATCATACAAGAATAGTGCGACAATATCTAATATTTATTGAAGTGATATACGAACTACAATGAGAACACTGACTGTATCTACCCACCTATTCATCTTTTACCCCAACATATATAAATGTTTGTGTTTTTTATATACTTGCTTGTGCGTCTAATTGTGTAATAAACCATTTATCTGTATGTTTGTTTAGAGTCCCAGTGAAGCAATTATGTGCCATCGACGTTCGTATTGCATCGGCCTCTCTTGCTAACTCCTACCTCACCTTCAAGTGATGAAACCTGCTGTTCTCAGTAATCCAGTGGCAGGTTGGAGTTGCAACCCTCAGAAACTGGATGGGACAGCATACGAGGAAAACGAGAAATCCGGTTCCATCAGACAGTTACTAGGTTGATGATACATCAGACTTGAACGTCAACATTTCAAGAGAGATCAAACCTCAAAACAATTTGGATATGAGTGTCTGACCTCCTTTATTCTAAAGCACACCACATTTTTACAGCTAGCTCAGTTGTACATAATTTACTCTGCATGTTTATCACACGTATCGCATTTGTTACAGCCGAGTCACTCCGAGTGATATTCCTACTTAAAAGGGTATTTGTTCAGTAGATCCAAGTAATTCGTTCCTATTATTAGACATTTTAGAAAATCAAAGAAGCAATGCTTTACGGAAAATGAGACGCAAAATTAGTTGCAGTGAATGCCTGATGAAAGAATGAAGCAGTGAGCTGTGACCTGGGGGATCCCGGCTTTAAGATTAGCTTAAAGGGTTGGCAATGTGATATTTGACTGCAAGTACTGTCTCAGATACAAATGCGAGTGCTGTCTCAGATATAAAGATCAGTGTTGTGTCAGATATAAAGGTGAGTGCTGTCTCAGATATAAATGCAAGTGCTGTCTCAGATTTAAAGGCAAGTGCTGTCTTAGATAGAAAGATGAGTAATGTCTCAGATTTAAACGTCAGTGCTGTCTCAGATAAAAAGGTGAGTGCTGTCTCAGATATAAAGGTGAGTGCTGTCTCAGATTTAAAGGTAAGTACTGTCTCATATTTAAAGGTGAGTACTGTCTCAGCTATAAAGGTCAGTGATGTCTCAGATATAAAGGTCATTACTGTCTCAGATATAAAGGTCAGTAATGTCTCAGATATA